ATACTTTTCTACAGCAAATATATTTCCTCTTAATACCACATTACAATTCATTTTTAGGGGGATTAGACAGTGATCATGTTTATGCTGCCGAGTGATATGATTTGAGCCTGGGCAAAAGGCTAAAGCTAAGTGTGAAACAATAAATACCTGAAATAGAAATAACAAATAGACTTTCCAAAAAGACTCTTACAATTTATGTCTTTAGTTTTTGTCAAATTGGTCACATTTTTTTTTTAACATAACCAACACAAGGAGGCACTGGTAAATATAATGAATGACTGGGATTCCTGTGTGATTTTGAGTCAAGTGTTTCTATTTTAATAAATCTAAGTAACTACTTAAACTAAGTCTGCAATTCTTTTTTAACACTTCCTTTTTCCTCTTCTTTTTTAATCAATGAAGTAAAACGGAGGTGTAAACAAACATTCAAAACCTAAAATAGCAAAGCTGTAATAACTCTGTCGGTGTGGTTTTGTGTACCCCTCAGGAGCAGGTAATTGCTATGACGGCCCTTTTTGTGGCCATCTTGGGTCCCTCTGGCTGGGTACTGGCTCACCTGGAGGACTACAAGAAGAAGGAATAGAAGAAGAGGTGGAAGACCAAACGCTCACATGAAGACCAGTCAGCACTCTCTTCCCTGTTCTTCACCAGCTGTTGAGATGACATGTTGATCTTCTCTTTCCAAATGGTTTTTGCACTGACTTGCGATAATATGTTCACATGTCCGCATACAAACATTATCAATAAATGCATGTTCAGTCCACAGAAAATGGGTGAATGTGTTTTTCTAGTGACAGAAACGACATAAGCCACACGTTTTAATCAGAATAACCATTTAGATGAAACTTTATTAATCCCTCAGGTGGGTTCCTCCAGGAAATTCAGTTTCCAGTAGCAAAGCACCGAAAGAAGTTGCATGTTACAGATACATTAAGGGGAATGAGAGTAAGGATATAAGCATAAATACACCATATATACACATATATAGATACAGAATATATAATATGGATAAATAGGATTGCTCATTTGAGTGAGTATATTGCACAGTGATTATTGCACAGTCAAATATAAGGAAAAAAAGGTCCTCTTCTCTGCCACTGTCACCAGAGTGTCCAGCTTCATGCCGACCACAGAGCCCGCCTTCCTGATTAGTTTCTCCAGCCTGGATGAGTCCTTCTTTGCTGTGCTGCTCCCCCAGCACACCACAGCATAGAAAAGTACTCCTGTGACCACTGACTGGTAAAACATCCTCAGGAGCTTCCTGCAGATGTTGAAAGACCTCAGCCTCCTTTTCTTGCAGAATGTCAGAAAATACTCCAAGTCAAGGTTGCATGTCCTGATTTGTTGATTTCTCTGACAGATAACCATATTCTGTTCACACGAATGACATGAAACTGAGAATGGTGAAACTTCTGTTATAGACTAAGTTTAATGGCTCATTTTGGGGGGATTTGAACTCGTGCAAATAAAAAACATGCTTAAAATTTGCTGGTATTTTGGAGACACTGGATTTCCATTTCTCCCACATATCACTGATGGAAGGTGGGTCCAGAGGAACACAGGTGTTATAATGTGGTGTTCATCAGGTTTTATTTCTGCATTTAGATGTTAATTTGACTTTAGTCCCAGTTTAGTTTTCAGAGTGCCTTTTTCTAAATTTTCTTTAGTTACTTGTTTGAAATGTTTGAAGTTTTTATTAGTTTCACTTTTATTCTCTTTTGTCTGAGGAGGGATTGAAGAAATTCAGAGCAATTGTTAAAATAAAACAGTCACATAGATCCAGTCTGTTTTCATTTGGTTTTAGATCCACATAATGGCATTGCAGATGCAGCACTTGTGGAACAAATCTTAAAAAACAAAACAAAAAAAACAGTGACATTTCCAATGCAAACAATTATATTCACTGTTACATTTGTCATTATGTGCGTCCCAGGATACTAGTTAAGCACTTTTTACCCATTTTATTAAGTTTGTATATTTCAATGAAAGCCACCAAAATGTTCCAGTTGTATGAATTATAGGATGCAGGTTTTACTTACTTCATGATATAAATCCTGCGCAACTGTGTAGTCACACTCAAAGCGAACACGTTTTTATTATTAAATGAGAAACCACACAAGGTTCAGCAAGGTTAGCGACCTACGACACGCTTGTATAGGCTTCACCATCAGTCGTCATTCTGCAGTGTAGAGAGGAGACTGGGTGTACATTTTTTCTCTTTTTTATGCCGATTTTGTTTTTTACATGCACAATACCATCAAAGCATAAATAAAATGTGTTTAAAAAACATCAGCTTTCCCAACGTGTAGGTGGAGTGGACACTGCTCTTTCGGCTGTTCTCCAAACACCAGCAGTACTTCAGTGTGACCAGAAGGAGGCGCACTTAGTGTATGTTTGAATACCCCATCTGTCTACAGCAGTAAAACTGTGTTATTGTTAAATGACATTAACAGTGTGCTGTTAATAGTGTCCTGAGCTGAATAACTGTATTACAAAGTGGCGAAAGTAATATACCATCTCTTTACTGAAGTAAAAGGTAGAAGTCATTTTACAAAACAATGTTCAATATTTAGACAATATTACAGCTACTTTATGAACTTATTACTACGTATTAAAATTATCTTAAGGCAATTTAACTCTTTGTAAAAAAAAAATATACATTTCAGTTATAAATTCTCTCTGTTCAACACATCATTGACTCCGTCTGTTAGGTTCAAAGTCAGCTTTGAGTAGCTTTTGTAAATAAACTATGCCTCCACCAACCCAGTGGATACTTGATCAAACTGCAATCTGGGTCTTTTGGATACTGGGTTAATGGCTATGGATCTTTGTCATGTTCATGCAGTTTTAATCGTTTTTGAACTGGGAGAGGTCCAGTGCCCTGCTGTGGAGCGTGGGGAGGGTAAATCTTAAACATAGAGTGCATTCAGAAAGCATTCATGGATCTTCACTTGCTCCACATTTTTTCATGTTACAATCTTTTTCCAAAATGGATTTGAATCATTTTTCACCTTAAAAATTGTACACACAGCAACGACAAAGTGAAAAAAAGCTTGCTTAAAATTGTTGCAAATGTATTACTAAAAAATTACACTCACACTTACAAATATTATATATGCATATATATATATATAGACAGACATGTATTTGGGGGAGTTTCTCCCATTCTTCTTCACAGAACCTCTCAAGCTCTATCACATTGGATGGGGAGCATCGGTGCATGGCCATTTTCAGGTAGACTGGATTCAAGTCTGAGCTCTGGCTGAGGCACTTAGCCTAAAGGACATTAGGCTAAGGCACTAAAGGACATTCACAGAGTGGTCCCAAAGCCATTCTTTGTTATCTTGGCTGTGTTAAGGGTTGTTTTCCTGTTAGAAGCTAGATCTTCACCACAATCTGATGTCCAGAGTGCTCTGGAGCAGGGTATCATTAAGGATATCTCTGTACATGGCAACATTCATCTTTCCCTTGACCCTTACTGGTCTCCCAGTTCTATTTTGCAAGGACTAGAAATACTTGTGTGTATTTCCATTTTGGTTTTTGGGACGGTCATTTACTAATTTTGTGTGTAGAATTTTGAGGTGAAAAATTAATTTAATCCATTTTTGAATAAGCATGACATGTAACATGACAAAATGTGGAACAAGTGAAGCTCTATGAGCACGAACTCTGGATGTGCTATAATCCACATAAATGACCAAAGATTTTCAAGCAAAACATTGCATTGGAACAAGATGATCTATTGGATTCACCTATAGGGCCAGAGGCAGGGTACACCCTGGACAGGCCGCCAGTCTGTTGCAGGGCTAACAGAGACAGACAACCATTCACACCTATGGGCAATTTAGAGTTCCCAATTCACCTAACCCCACTAACTGCATGCCTTTGGACTGAACCTTCTGACAAAATTTTAAAAACAAATTAAATGTTAACTTGCATATAGGAGTGTGAATTTGCATCATGTTTGCTACATCAGGCAATTTATTCCTTAAAGACGTAGAATGCAGTTTATTTTGTTTTGGGTGGGGGTGAGACTTTTACACTGTGGAAGTCACAAAAGCTCAGGTATCAAATACACTTAGTTTTAAAGAGTCATGGAGACCTTGCCAGGATTGGGTTGAACCCCCTTTATGTCTTTTTAATTGACTTAATTCTTCATGGTACAGATCAAACAAACATTGAATCTATGCCATGGAAACATTCCTCAGAGATTTTGGTCCATATTGACCCAAACTGATAGCATCCTGCAGTTGCTGCGGTTTTGTCAGATACATATCCATGTCCTGAATCTGTCGCTCCATTGCATCCAAAGGTGCACTATTAAATTGAGATCTGGTGATTGTGGAGAACACCTAACACAATGAACTCATTGTCACGTTCAAGAAACCAGTTCGAGATCATCTGTGCTTTATAACATGGTGTATTATTACACTGGAAGTGGTCATCAAAAGATGGATAAACTGTGGCCACAAAGGGAACAATGCAGCAACAATGCTTAGTAGGTTGTGCCCCAACCTACAAAAGACAAAAAAACGTTAAGACACTAACAATTTAGTTGAAACATCTTCTATCATGAAACTATTAACCACGGGTTCCTTATTTCCTCTAATAAATGTAAGCTTTAAACCCTTTAAATCAGAACATATACAGCCTATGAATGTGTGAAATATCTTGCTCTGTTCTAGCATTAACCTGACATCTCTAATTGTATCCCGTCATCGAGTTTGCCTGGTGTTTCTGACAGTGTGACTGTCCATCAGATCTGGCATTCTGACACCACATCTCCTTATTGTAAAAAACCATCCCAGCAGTCAAGTGGTTAAAGTGTTCGACTAACCTGCATTAAGGCCTGTATGCAGGCCTGTTTCTGGCAGGAAAAAAACAAAACACTAAAATGTGAGGAATAATTAGAAATAAATAACTGAAATATCTAAAAATCACATCCAAGTGGAAACTATTAAATGCAAAAATATTCAAGGGAAAACAAATGTCTACAATCATGAAAAAGAAAGTACACCCTCTTTTAATTCTAAGAAATAAATAATTAGCAGGTACATACCAGGCATTAAAATTAGGTAAATACAGCCACTGATTAACTAGCAAAATATGACATATACAGTGTCACTATTATTTATTTTCCACATTGTGGAACATTGTATAAAAAGCTAAGTACACCCCACGGTCCCATAGGTTGTAGAACCACATGCAGCAGCAATGACTGAAAGTAATTGTTTTGTTTCTGAATATTAGCCTCTTACATCATTGTGGAGAAATTTGGCCTACCCTCCTTTACAATGTTGCTTCAGTTCATTGAGGTTTTCAGGTGTTCATTTATATACACCACTCTCTTAAGAGTGCCACATTATTTCAACTGGGTTGAGGTCTGTACCTTGATTCTTTTGTTTTTTGCCATTCTGTTGCTGTGCTTTTTACCATTGTCTTTTTTCATGACCAAGTTTCAACCAAGCATGATGGTTGAGCAGAAGGCCTATAATGATTTCAGATGGAATGCCCCTGCTGGACAACAGTTCGATTTTATTTATATAGCTCCTCATGGCACATTCTACTGTAAACGAAACACCCTACAATAATTAAAAACAAACAAACAAACACAGAACACCCCAACAATCGTAGGACCCTCGTTGAGCAAGTGGTTTGGTGATAATGGGGAGGAAAAATTCCCCTTTAATAACAGGAAGAAAATACTGTCAGAAACATGCTCACAACCAGTTGGGGTGAGGGGAGGAAAACAAAATGAGGACATGCTGTAAAAGACAGACAGAGATTAATAATAACTAAGGATTAAATGCAGATTGGTGCATAAACAGAATAATAAGGTGAGTGAAGAAGAAACAAAGGAAAAAAATGCATCATGGGAAGCCCGCAGACGCCTAGGAATATTGGAATATAACTAAGGAAGGATTCAGATTCACCTGATTCAGCCCCAACTATGTGCTTTTTTAAAAAAGGAAAGTTTTAAGCTTAATTTTAAAAGTGGAGAGGGCTCCAAAACTGAGCTGGTTCCACAGAAAAGAAGCCTGAACCCTATGAAACAGGATATTGAAAGAAAGCTGTCCTATATATTTGTTTAATGTGCACATTTAAGGATCTATCCTAGTCAAAAATGACTTACAGATTCCTCACAGTGTTACTGGAGGACAAGGTAATGCCATTCAGAGTAAGCATATGTGTATAATGTAAACAGAAGTGGTTCTAGCATGGAACCATGTGGAACTCCATAATTAACCTTAGTGTGAGAAGAAGACTCCACTTACATGACCAAATGGGAGCATATTAGACAGACGATTCAAACCACCGCAGTACAGTACCTTTAATATCTACATCATGCACTAAATGTTGTAATAAAAAATAAAATATATTATGGTCAACAGTATTAAACGATCCAGAGGTCTTGCAGGACAAGCAGAAATCATTTAATATGTAACAGGAGACTAGCTGTCATCTTTACTGTACAGCAAGTAATTATCAAAAAAAAAGCCAGACTTACCAAACAGTCAGTTATTAAAAATAGTAAAATGCGTTATAAGATTGGAGTTATGCCCAGTAATACATTTATTGCACTGTTTTACCTGTACAAGCTAAAAACCTTGAACGTGTGAGTATAAATATTATGACTGGAGTCAGGCATTCAGCAGTCACCCTTGGTTTTTGTAACTGGGATGTGATAAGCACGAGGTGGATGTGACTGAGAACCTGACGGAACTCGTGCATTTTCTCAGAGTGGACAGAACCAGATTTCTTGGAACCAGTGGAAAAGGCTCCTGCTAACAATTTAAGAAGAGCATCTTTAAGGCACTTTCATGGCTTGGCTTCATTTTGAAAACTTATAACATCATATACAGTCTATAGCAAGGTGCAGATATGCTAAATGTCAATAATAGTTAAACCTTGTGTCGACTCCACTCAAAACTATAGATAAACAGAAAGTAAATTAAGAGAGAGTCATCCTTTGGAAATGGCTTAGACATCTTAGTGGCTTTCTTGACCTTTTCCTGCCTGCTTGAGGAGACCTTTGAATCTTTTTTTTTCTTTTTGTACAGGATTGTGAGTCAGTCTTCAACTTTTTTTTGCTTTATGCAATTAATGTTATATTAGGACCAATTAGATGGACCTGTAGGGTCCACAGCTCATTTACTGGTCTGAGCCCCTAGAGCCCTATATAGTGTACAGAGGTTGAAGAAGCTTCTGACCATATCACACCTCATTCCTGTAAAAACAAATACATTTCTTCCATCTTAATTACTTGTGACATAGTTACTTATATATACACACAGTAAACATAATGACTTGTGTTTTACTTGTAGAGTTTACTGTAAATGCACCTCTCAGATACCAAAATCAACCAAAAAGCTGTCACAATGTGGAAACTTATACATGCACATTTAGTGCAGAAAATTATTTATATTTAATCATAAAGACTGAAAATGTACAAAGACCTGGAAACAATTTTGAATATATACAAATCAGTTCATTGTTACAAAATAACCCTTAAAAACACACTATCATTCAAAGAGCTAAAAGATTAAAAACTTATATCACTTTCTGTTGATTTAGCAATCTGATCATCGTCGCCCTCCTTCATCAAGCCTAAAGACAGAACAATCAAGGTGAACAGAAGCTCTGAAGACACAGGCTGCATTTTCAGGGCTATGAACTTAACAATCAGCTTTATAACAGCATCTCCACTGTATCCCTGTGTGAAAGACATAAGCTGAGAGGAGTAGAGGGAGACATATAGGTGCTTCTAACCAACCTGGAATTATTATTATTAACACACAGGCAGTCAAAAAAATGTCAACCAAAAACACCAGAGAGAACCCAAGGAGCAGCAGGACAAAGAATTAAGGAAAGATAGCCCTGAAGATAAACACCACTTTGGAAAGTAGAAAATAGAAATTAAGGCCTCAAGAGAAAAAGCATTAACCTTGCATATAACCATTATCCCCCCATTTTAACAGTACAACAGCCCGTCTGCTGTTCTATCTCTATGCAGTCACTCTGGCAGAGAAATGTGCATGCATGCGCACATGCACGCACGCTCTCTCTCTCACACACACACACACACACGTGTGCGCACAAACGTACACACGCTCTCACACAGCCCCTGAGAGAGGTTAGTGTCATCCTGCTGCTGAACTGTAAGCTCTGCTAACTCGAGAGAACAGCATATTGCTGCTTTCACATTACGTTTGAAAGCGCAGACTCCTAAACTGAGAATTTCAGCTCGACACCTGACTTTAGAAAAAACTTGGGACAATGCTAAGTAACTTTCATTGGATGTAGTATGGGGAGGCCTGGATGTGAATGTAGCAACATGCTGTCCTACAGTCAATATCATACAAATGATTTAACACCTAGAGCATTCAGTGCTGTATAGCGTACACTCCATCAATTTACACATTGCCTTTCTCTTGATAGTTGAGAAAAAAAAAAATCCACCCTGGGGCATCATAGAAAATGACATCACAACCCAGACTGGACTGTTCTTGCCAGTATTCACCAGAAAGTCCACATCAAACTTAGCACTGCTAAAGGGTGGCAAGTATCCTGAGGAAGGAGATGAGGAGAACACAAAACGACTGCCCGACACCAAACACCAGCGCCTCCAAAGATATCATCGTCTTCCCTGCTGCCTTGTACACACCTGCTATGGCTGCACCTAAAAAAAGAAAAGAAAGAAAGAAAATTATTAAGCGTGCGTGTTTTCCAGTTTGGCTTCTGACTTACTGATAAGAGCTCTGCCGACAAACCACCTTTTGGCCTGCTGACCTCCTGATATAAGCAACAATTAATCAGAACCTCACACTTGGGGTCTGAATGCAAGGCTTGACTACTGCAAAAATCATAATAACCATTAGTTTGGTCAATGTATTCACTACATATCATTATTATTCATTATCTAAAATTTCAAGAAGTTATTGTACTTACAATCATGTTTTCTTTTGGGGTTTTCTGAGCTTTAAATAGAAAGAGTTGTGGGTTGTTGGGTATTCAGGGTTGCCTGGTACAGCTCATGCCCTAATTAGGGGATGTTTGTAACCATAAACGTTGTCCCGTAAGGGCAGCCTGTGTGTGTCTCAGTGTAAGATTCTTGGATGTCATAAAATAGTCCTAGTTTGTTCCATTTCTGCTGTCAGGTGAGCAGACCAGAGAGGGGAAGGTACGGACGACAACACGTTATGTTACTGTCAGATGTGAGAGAAAGTGGGGCATGGATGATTTAGCCTACCATCATCAGGGGAAACAGGTAGATTAATATCAAATTTGCAACTGAATGTAGACTGTCACTTCTTAAAGAAAATCTAATTAGATTTTTACTGAATTAATAATAATAATAATAATAATAATAATAATAAAAAGAATATCCCTAGTTCTCTTAATCTTTTCACTGTAATAATAATAATAATAATAATAATGCACTTTTTTAAGAATATGCATTTACTTTGTTTAAATTTGTTATCACGACTTGTCCAATCAGGATTTTGTGCGTTTGCTTATTGAGACTCGTGAATCACCTGCCTTCAAAATTAAATGAATAAACATTGCAGTAATATCCATTTTGAACTTCAGAATAACATATGGCTATCAGACACCTCCGAAGTCATTAAAATAAGACACTACAAGTAGCACTGAAAATATTGAAGACTTAACAACTAAACATGAACAAAAACTACAGTGAAACAAGCAAATGCACTCTGGAAACTAACTCAAGCTTAAGTGACTGACTTGGGAAAAATTAAATAAAAGTTCAGGAGAAAATACAGAACTTATCATCTATTTATTATGCATCTTAAAAACTGCAAAATTTCCTGATGCTTTGATCCAACTTAAGATTCAGTATTTCATTAAGAACCATTGTGGTGTGCTCACAACCCAAGCTACAGCGATACAGCGATACTAATTTACACATTGAGTCCTATTTGTAAACACTTGAGATTGAGACTAGTAGACCCACACACTGTGGAAGCTTAAATGAACTGGCTGCATACTGAACAGGTTTCCAGCAGCACTGCTCAGTGATGGTCCAATTCATTCGGTTCTTTTACATTGGGGAAAACACAAAGGCATCTGCCTAGCATGCAATACATCCCTCGTATGAGATCAGGCTCAGACGGACACAAGTTCATGTCCTCCTGTGTGGACTAATCTGCTGTGGTGATACTTAGGAAACGAGGAAGCATCTGAAAATACCTTCTATTTTATAATATGCGGGTATACAAATCTTTTTAATAAATGCTGAAATAAATGTAATCACAAATAGTTATATCATTCATTTTAAAAAATTCAAAAATACATACATTAAAACAACAACACCACAGCACATGCAGGTAAAAGGCTTACTAGTTAGGACTCCCCCAAACACTGGTCCCACAATGCCCATGAGGAGGATCGCAATGGGCATGAACCGGGCAAATTTGTGCTGGCGCAGTGAGGCTAGGGACAGTAAAGCTGCAGGCAGGTGGAACACAAGAGAGGAGACCGCTGCCCACAGAAACACGCCATACCACATCTCTGGGAAAACACAATTATACAGTTATGCATCTCTTCATGCCAATCAGTGAACATATTACATAACCACGAATGTATTTATTTGATTTATTTCCATAGGGGTGACAGTGGTTCACTGAAAAAAACATGACAATGATGTTGAATCCTTAATGAGGACCAGTTTGTGACTTGACTAAACATTAAGGAGAACTCTAGATCTTCATTGTTTAACAACACACCAACGCAAAATGATTGCTGTGTTCAGTGTCACAGAAAAATAACTGGCAGAACACCAGCGCACATTTCATTTGTCAAATCTACATAGAGACTGAAGACACTACTCAATGGTCATACCCTAAGAGCCATGACCAGTGGAATTTAACAGTATCATTTACACAGGTCTTCAACATTAGAGACTCTCAAATTACAAAACAATATGCAGACTTCTGACTACCCAACAATCGCTTAGACAAAGTAGAAGTTAGCTAGCTTCACCAACTACTCCAACAACATTGCGTATAAACTAGCCTCTAGCTAATGACCCATAGTGACAGGTTCTGTTCGCAGTACATTTTAAACGGCTTCTTTTTCAGTCAAATACTTTAGCATAGGTAGACAGCAAAGACATAAAGATTAGCTGAAAAGCTACCAAACATTAGCCCACCTGAGAAGTCGCTGAGAGATGTGTCATTGCCTCGGTTTGTACTATTTTTTCTCGGCACCAAATTCAAACCGAGTATTTGCTGGACAAAGCCTATTTCGTTGTACCTATCCTGCATGTCTCATAACAAAATAGACACTGCATACAGCAAAGATGGCCTACAGACGCGAAAAACCATTAAAGTTGGTTGGTGAACCTGACGCACCACTAACTAGCGTCAGGTTAGCTAGCAAGAGCTAACCAAGCTGCTGTTTTGACGTATATGGGAGGAACTTACCCAGAGTGCAGTCTGTCAGGCAACGCGCTCCTACCAGTGCAAAGATCGAGCTATTATACAACTAACAATTAAACTAATAATAACCATTTAATGTTCAATCGATATTCGTCTTTATTGATTGGGGGGGGGGTGTCGTTATAGCAGCTTTTATTCGGACATAGATTCTGTGATGATAGGAATGATAGGAAGGCACATTAAGACCACAATTTTTTATATTCTTTGGCAGCATAGTACATTTGAGTAGTTTGTAATAGATGACTTGTAAATCTTATGCTAGTTCAATGTTAACATTTCATCTGTTGATTATAAGTTCTTGTGTGTAAGCAGGTTTAGTGTGGTTTCTTCCACGTGTATGTCGCTTGGGGGCAGTGTTCAAATAATGCAGCAGAGAAACAACCATGGAGGCTCCTCTCATCCTCATCGTTTGTGTATATGACGCACACACCACAACTTCCGGAGCGAAATAACCGTTAGGAGGATGGTTTGAAGCCGCGTAGGAAAACTCAGTTTTCGGTTTTAAAACCGGCACAATGACAAAGGCGTGTTTATCATTTACACTGGAAGCACAAGTGTGTCGTGTGGTCTGACATGAGCAATTAAACACTGCAACCCCTGATGCGCCAACTCCAAAAATTCTAATGGAGAAACATCTTAAAACCTCTGTTAACTTTAAACACAATTATTTCTCACATTTACCGTAACGCTGCTAATTAGATCTCGGTGATACTAGAGGTTTTGTGCAAAATGTGGTGCTGGTTTTCAAAGCAAAGCCCAAGAGGACAGGAAAATGGGTGCGATTACCACCATTTAATATACATCAGTATATTAAACCGACTCCAGTTTCCACTGACACCTTTAATCTAACAGAAAATGGGTTGTGCCTTTGACAGTCTAGAAATATGCACAACTGAACAGAGCAGTGAATGTGAACCATTACCTGTAAACCTCTCATTTCATCTCCAATCCTGGTACAGAAAACCAAGTCACAAAACCATTTTCCTTAGGAACCACGTTTCAACTAATTTGGTGAGAGCAAAGTAAGGGGTTAAAGCAAAGAAGAGAAGGCAAGTTGAAGTCTGTTTTTTTACCATCATATTATCTGCAGCTTCTTATTCTAAGTCAGGTGGTTACACAGCAGTTTAGGTTGTCCAGGTGTCGAAGAGAAAGAACAGAGCTGGAAACTAGCATGGCAAGTCCACTTTAAAATCCTACAAGTATTGGTGATTGGTGCATTTAGTGCTCAATACAAGAGTCAAACCTGTGTGGACACATTCTGCAGTAATAGTGCCAATCAAGATAAGCCAGTGTTTGGTTTTGCCCAGGGCACCAACGGTTGGTCAAATTTAAAAAAACAAAAACCAAACCAAAAAAAAGAAAGTTAGACACTTATAATGTTAAGAACCCCCCAAACACAACATACACCTCAGGATCCAGCTGCCACCTCTAAAACTGGAGACCAAAATAAATCAAACCATTTTCCAAATAATGCTTTATGAATGTGGTTTTAAAGTGAAGAACGATTCCCAACAAAACATTGATGAACAAGAATGAAGTCAATGAAAATAGAAATAAAACTGTTTCAAACTTGGGTGCTTTACTCAAGCTGGACCTCCTGCTCTGCAGGAATAACTTACACATGAACACATACCAGACGCTAAAACACTACAGAGCGTCTGATGTGATAACTGTAAAAGTAATCCTTATCATTTTATCTTAAAAACTTGCAGGTAAAAAGTAAAATGTCACCATTCATATTACAAAGTAATCTAGCAGGAATGTTTGCTTTCATTGATTAGACTGGCTGAGAGAGAACATCATTTGAAGTCACCATTAAATTTTTTTGCCCAAACTTTCTACAGCAGTACCTCCACCCCACCCACTGTACGGTCTAAACAGTGTCACCTGTTGGCACACAGTCATTGGCTGAAACAATTTCACCTGATTGTCACATGTAAGCCCATGAGGGTGGACACAAGGCAATCTTGTAAAAGGTAACGCAGAAAACACACAGCTTCCACATGATGTATGAGGCATGAAAAGTGCTGTCCCTAGCACACATTAGAAATTATGTATTGCATTCAATGGGAAATCACAAACTCAAACCTTTTTATAGAGTATGTGCGCTTTAGCTGAACAGTACAGATATTGACTTAAAAAAAAAAAAATCATATTTTGAAAATCAACACTTTCTTACCTATAGAGGAAACCTCCAGAGCCAAGCCTTGCCAGTCAATATCTTTCCAATGCTGAGATGGTGGGACTACACACAGTAGCTCCATCTGCTCGCCCTCTACAGCTGACAGAGTTACAGACTGTAGATTGTGTAGCTGTTTGGGCCTACCCCATGTGGCAGCTGTGTGTTTTGGCAAAATGTATTTAATTATTATTAAATAAATTTATCCTCTACTTCTGTGTATAGTTTGGCAATTAAATGCCTTTCAATTTTACTATAGTAGCAGGCTGAATTGACAGTTCTGCACATTGGAGATGAATATTCAACTTGGAACGACATTTTTTAAAAATATAATGCAATCTAAAGGGAGACCCAGCAAACTGAAAACCAGTTATCTGAAGAGCACTTGCGATAAAAACAAAAAACGAACATATTCTTAATGCATTTATAGCTCCTAGTTTAGGTTGTGGTGACAAACATCTCCTCTTTAGCCTTCCAGCTGCGAGGTAAGAACCTAGTTAGCATGAAAGCAGCCAGTAAGAAAGAGACAGTGTTGGTATATCTCTATGGTCATTTTTTTCCCCTTTTTGTTACTACAATCTCAACTCCATAATAAATTAGAAAGAAACATACCAAAACAGCTCATCAAATGTTATTCAATGCAGAAGATCACAAGAGAAAAATCATTTGCAATTAGCTGCAACAAAAATAAAACTGTTTCAATTGGTCAGAGCAGCTCTGCTCAGAGACAGATCAACGGTGGGGGGGGATTTTAAATATAGCTCTAACTTGAAGTGTCAGCCTGTTATGCAGCCAATAACAACAACATGGTGATTGGTTGATCATGAATCAGCTATTCCTCTCTGTGGTAATTCAACTTATGCTTCTGTATACATTTTCCTTTTATAAAATATTTTATTCATACAATCATTTCCTTAACCATCGCAACATTACTATTTAATTTTGGGAGTCAGGATATCAGTCACACATCACCTCCTAAGTACAATAGTATATAAACAAATGCAGAAAAAAAAAATTATTCCGTATCCATTTGAGTGTCTCTCATTTTACTTCTTAGTCCATCTTGTGTCTGTACACCTGTCTGCCCATTTGTCTTTCAGTGATGAGACGATGGGAGTATTGCTGGTCCTGATGGGGCATGTGGTTGGAACAGCTGTGAGCAGCAGCCTCTGCTGGCTGACCAGGAGAAAGGCCCTGCATGGCAGAACAGGCTGGCCATTGGCAGGCATTAAGTGACTCTCATGCTGGCCCGTTTACAGCTGGCTCAGAGGACACAGAACTTCTGTCGAGCCTAGAAAAGAGGAATGAGATATAGATATGGAACCTTTTGAAGACAGAAGGAAATATCACTGCATAAATCATATCATATCACATATCACGAAGCATTGCAGTACTAAACAAGGCAAAACAGGTATTCGACAGAACATCACTTCATATTCTCTACTGTTCACTGGTTTCACCATACTTAAGCTATTGTGCAGAGGTCTGGGGCAATAACTATAAAACCACATTACATTCACTTTTTACTCTTCAAAAGAAAGCAATTCGAATCATCCACAATGCAGGTTATAGGGAACATACAAACTCACTATTTTTGCAGTCTGAAATATTGAAAATTGACGATATAGTGAAATTCCAAACAGCACAAATTCTATTCAAAGCAAAAAATAAAGAACTGCCAGGTAATATTCAGAGTATGTTTTTTTTGAAAGAAGGAAGTTATAATTTAAGGGGTTTTTGTAACTTCAAAACAATGAAGGTACGTACTACAAGAAAAGGCTTTTGTGTTTCTGTTCAAGGAGTGAAACTATGGAACAAACTGAATATGGAATTAAAGCAATGTCCAAACATAAAACTGTTCAAAAAGAGTTATAAAAATATGATCTTCTCGATCTATAAAGAAAAGGAAAATATTTAAATTAAGTAAATGTCTCTATTTAAAAACAAACAAACAAAAAATTCATGATGTGATATTATAGTATATAGTATATCAGAAATCTGTTCACTATTTTTATTACAAATTATATCAGTAAGGAAGCTGACTAAATATTCACTGATAATTTATGGGACTGGGGTGGGATTAAATAAGTGTATACTTCTTCCCACTCCCTTTCAACATGTAAATTAATCAGAATGTTTTTTTGTATGTAATTTGTATAGTATTTTTTTTCTCTCTTATTTCTTTTCTAAATGTACTTGTATATTGTTCACATGTTGAAATAAATTACCAATCAAATCAATCAAATCAAATCAAATCAAATGAAGACTATGAAGAGACTGATTATATTCTAATGAAATTCAAACTTGAATCACAAAGGCAGTCAGACTTACTTGGCCTCCTCTGTGGGGGACATTTCTTCCAGAGGACCATTGGGTAGCTCCACAATGGGCCGACATTTCTCACTACTTGCCAGGACACGAATAAGGAGAGAAACACAATATATTCAGTTTACAATACCAGAACATGTGAAACTGTTTAGAAAAGGCTGTAATGGAAATCAGCTCAAGATAATTTGTATCTTGCAGCAAAATAGTTTTGTCTTGTCATTTATCAATTCCTACACCTATAATTTCTTAAAAATAAATAAATTCCAGTCAATAGAGCAACTGACCAAGCTCTGATTGGCCAGGAGTTATACTGAACTTATTTTCTGGGTGCGATGCTCAACTCGACTTAAGAGGTTTAGTTACACGAGGAGATCACTCAGTCAGGATTTCTCCCCCAAACCCCAACTATCTCTAACTGTTGGCATAGAGCCCAAAGGAGCTGTCTGCCATGCAGTTTTAATACCT